TCTTAAATCCTTCAACAAACAATCTATTGAAGTTTAAAACGACTAAGTTAGTTTTAAGTTGTTAAATAAATTGATTCGTTGATAACGCTCTCTGCAATATACTGAATGTAAATCATTCTAAAGTTTTTAACTTTCCAAGACTAATCGAGAACAATGTAATATCTCGTAAATGCTATCAGCATTTCCATATTGAAAGAAAACATCTACTCAGTTAGTGTACTCAAGAGCGTTCCCTAGAGAAAGTACTGAGTTCAGGGTACCCATGTACTGAGAAAGCTCTAGCAGGGTACCCAATATGGGTACTTTCAAAGTTCTCAGTAATTTTACTGATGTATGTACAGTTTGGGATACCCGTAAAAGTACATTCACTGAATAAGTACCTGCATGGATACACAAGTCTGTAACTTTACTGAGGAAATCTCGACAGGGTATCCTAAATTTTTCGCGTTCTGTGTGGCGACTATTCATTCACCTTTTTCTTTTTTACGTACGGCTCTATATAAACAACTCGATAAATCATAAGAAAATAATCAATTTTCATACTAGTTTTTTCTAAATTATTTCTTGACTCTTTCTTAGTCGAGGAAATGCCGAGCTTGGTCGTAAATTAAGATCGGACTACCCTGAAGTGGTCTACGACCAACTCAAGTTGAGTCGGATTCCGACATTGTTCCTGCTAAGTTTTTGGAATTGAAAAAATTAAATTGAATAAAGTAAAAAAAATCTAGTAAACTATCTCAAGAAAAAGAAAAAATTTTAAAAAGTCAAAGATCAGGTTCGATCCTGAACATACTGAAAATTTGGTAACAGGGTACTTAGAAATACTATACAATGGTACCCAATTCAGTACTTGATCAGTACCTTTAGGTATCCAATTACTGTGCATTTTCCAGCAGGGTACTTGCCAAAGTACCACTTAGGTACCTGTAAGTACCTGCAGGTACTTTGGTACCCAAAAGTTCCTGTGACATACTGGTATCAGGGTACTTTTTTGGGTACCCTTAACTCAGTATATTCTCTAGGGTTCTTATAAATAAATAGAATTTGTATGTAATATATCTTCTGTTACTTCTTAGCATGCAAAAATATTAAACTGAAAATTTGCAACAGTTGATGCAAATTAATCAAACATCATAGTTGGTCACTAAAAAAAGTTCACATTGATTATTCTATGCTCTACAGATATACGAAGAAAACAATCACTGAATTTATATTTTTATAATTGTAGGAGTCGGCTTATACAAAGCGGGATACATTTATTCTAATGCATGCTGATACTCCACAATTCGTCCATTCATCGGCATCAGTTGCCTCTTATGTTCTTGTTCGCAAAAGTGTCAAAAGTTTAGCTTTTGTTTCTGAGTGGCTTACTCATGTTCAAGATAGTCGAGCAGTAACCGACGATACAAACGTCTTGGGTAAACCGAACTACGATAACTTCATTAGTCATCGACATGATCAGGCGATTCTCGGATTACTGGTGAAAAAATGGAACTTGACAACCTACCCTGACCCAAGTCAATGGGGAGAAATAGTCAAACGACCATATCAAACTATTTTTCAGCATCATCGCTACAAACATTGAATAATTTCCATTTAGAAAAAGAAAATTAAACTATTAAATTAGAAGAGTGACTAAATAAAATATTTACATGATTCTTCTCTGTGATAGAGGCTATCGTGTGAGTATGATTTTTGTGAAACACTACTGTCTAAGTGTGTAGAAGAATATAGTGAAAAAAAATTAGTCATTAGTCGTACCCTACAAACTGACACATATGCAACAAAAAGAAGGAAAAAACTAAGTTTTCGCAGGATTTTAGTTTTGCAAAGAATGCTCGACTTTAAGACGCTTATTTTTTACTCTTGGATTTTATATGATTTTTTTTTATTTTAAATAAATTGGAAATTTCGAAGACCAAGAGAATCCTCAATACGTGCTTGTGATATATGGTCTTTGAGACTCTGCCATTCATTGCCACAAGTCTTTTCATCTGCTGCTCTTACTGTGCCATTACGAATCATAACAAGACAAGAGCAAGTTTTCATAAGCTATTTTAAGAGCTGCGTTGTATTCTGCATTATAGCTTATTCTTTCATCTTTGGTAAATAGATTATGCACTCATATCTTTTTTGTCAAGAATATCACAAAATCGATATTATCGATTTATTGATATTAAATGAGCTCGAAAATATGATTGTATCTATCATGATGTCTAATCATATATAAGACGAGGACCTGTTTAAATATCTATAAATGAATCACCTTCCAAGATGAAAGTAGGGTATTTTTCTTCTTATTATCTGAGCAGAAACCAAAAACGAACGAGATGACAGCATTTTCATCTTTTTTACATCTGAATGTCAGTCTACATGAATTGAATTGTCTAAAGAATATATTAATTATTGCAAAATTCAGACAGAAAACTTTCTCTTTGAACTCTCCTTTGTGCACAAACATAGGTCATCGTCTCATTGAGGATATAGGTAAGTGTCGGTGTAAGAATAAGTGACATGACATTTTCGTGCTCAACACTTCCGCTATCCTTTAATAGAACAGGTAATCTGACTAATTTCTCGTACGATATCATTCAGCTTAAAATCGACAAAGTGATTTCAATATTTTGAATGCTCACGTTTGTCCATCTTTTTTTTTTATGCTTCATCTTGTAAGACATATTTGTGATTGAATTTTGAGACATATGATGATAAAACTAGGCTCTCTTGTTTCTCCTGGAAGAATAAAACAGATGTGTGAAAGAGATTCTCGTTCGCCGTCGAACTGAATACAGTGTGTCTTGATGGGGTATATGATCATATTAAATACAAAGAAAAATAGCTTGTGGAGTTAAGAGCTGATGTCAGCACGTCTCACAACAGAAAATTTATGCACACTAGAAAAAAAAACAAATATACTCATACTATCAAGATAACCCAATACAAGTAAGTGGCTTTTGTCGATATAGATGAATAGCCTGGTGAAATCGTGGTGTTACAATAAAAACAAAATAGAAATTATTTTGCTCACATTTCAATAGAGATTTCAACGTTACAATATAAATGATTCTCCAATCAAACAACATCATTTGATAGTATTCTCACAATGTTTGACAACATGGATCAGGAGACAATCTTTGCTCTATACTAAAAGAGTAATTGCTTCTACAAATAAATGCATACACATGCTCGTCGTACAGAAGGAAAAAAACATTTTTGATTCTGTTTTGTTCTTTTATTCTGTTTCTGTGGCCCTCAATACCGCGGGTAGTTGAGATGAATAGCGAAAACATCAGCATGTTCTCTATTCATTTCTTTTGCATTCACTTCTTGCGATTGCTTTCATATTTTTTTCGAAACTATGCATTCTTTTTATAGTCACTTTATTGCATAATTAAGATTTTTCTTTCCATTTGCTTGTATTTCGATCAATTGACTGCATCGAATAACAATATTTCAATGAGTTTGAAGCATGAAAAATCAACTAAATCGACGGATACGAATATCTCCGAAAAACTAACTATATTTGATGGATGTAACAACGAATTAATATTTATCAAGAAAGCTGATGATTCGGTCACATTTGAATATAAGCCTATGGATCCTATACATAGCTGCAGTGGAGAATATAGTGGTGGAACACCTGTTTTCAAAAATCTTGAATCAAGTGAATGGATAAATATTATAACTGTATATCAACGTGCAAAAACCGAAGGAAAACTATGCCAAGACAGACTTAAAGGAACCTTACTTTTCAAGTATCAATCTGAAACAATAACTGATACTTTAATAATAGCGTTTAACAAGTTCAGCGAAGAATTATCGAATTTCTTTCATGCATACAGAACATAGATTGCAATTATGGTATTACAAAAAACAAAATATAATAAATGCTTTGATATATCTATCTCAGCTTGCTTTTCTTTCATCAGTTACAATAAATGAAAAGCATAGAATAATAATTGTTCAGTTATGTATCTGTTTTTGTTTCAGGATAAAACTTTCCAGAAACTTGATAAAATTTGAAAAAAGACAAAACGAAAGGACTTCGTTCGTTATGCGGCATTCATTATATTTCAATCTAAATAAAAACTCGTATTGATTTTCAACATGTTTCATATTTTAGTCACATCAAAATTCTCATATTTAACTAATAAATAAACGTCAATATTCCCAGAACAAATTATGTTTGTTCGAAACCATTTTATGAACCAACCGTATATATTAGAAAATGACATTTTCACCAATATCAGAACTATATAATTATATTCATAATTTTGATAGACAGAATTTAAAAGAGATATTAAAATATAGAGGCAGTAAAATAGATCCCTTTCACCAAAAATCATGACATAAATATCCATGAAATTTAATTGTACTTCGGCATTATTGTGGAACATGGTTACAAAATTTATGGACACCTTCTCCTTTTGAATCATTTCTGATTTCCGAATAGGATATAACTGATCCGCTTGAAATTTTTATCAAAAAGAGGGCGCCTAGAATCAGAAGATATGTGTTCGAACAAATTCCGATTTTGCAAAGTTTATATCCAAGCACACTACAATTCACATAAAGCTTCATTTGATTGGGCTAGATATTTGTTTTTAAAAACACTTAAGATTATATTTCAGACATAATTTTGAACTCACACCAACAAAAAATAATCAGAATATCACTAAGATTCTATTGCCGTCGTTAAGAGTATAGATAAAGAAAAATCAACGAACAATTGTTTATGCGTAGGATCATATTGAAGGACTTCCTCTATTTATATTTTTCCTTTATCTAATCTAATTAAATAAAGTTCAACGAATTAGCTAACATACAATAATGATAATAATTGAAAAAAACCAAATTACAAAAAAATTGATGAAATTATGAAATATTTATCGCAGATATGATATTTATTTAAGATTGATTCGCTGAGTTTTTAAAGTTCTATTACAAGTGATCGTATCTCTATTATATATGAAAACTAATTCAAAAAATCTGGATGTTTTTTAAAACTTTTTTTGATTTTCAGAAATAGAACAAGTTTCGTCATTACTCATTCCAGATATTGATTGGTCATCATCGTCAGATTTTGTGGAAATTTGAGGAATGAGTGAGATTGAAAATGATTTCATTTGAGATCGTTTCATGTTGAACAATGGTGATGATGGTTCATCGACGAGTATATGATTTTCACAAACAAATGCTTGTTCTTCAGGTAGTTTCAAACTAAGAATTAAAAAACTCACTAGATAATTTAATATATTATCAAGTAAATTTATTTACCTTCGCAAGCCAATCATACAAAGCATAGCCAATAAATTGAAAGAAACACAAAATATAAATATTGTCGACAATGAAAAATGCTACAACGATGAAAATCGATAAAATATCTTCGTTTGTTTTTTTAGTTTTGATTTTGAAAACTCACAGTTAATAAGATAATAAGCATTAAAATAATTTGTGGTACGCGCATATAATTCATCATCGTTGCTCGGACTAGGAAAGTTTAAACAAAATAATATGAAAACTATAAATATTTATCGTACTCTCATTAGGAATATATTGACTTCTTAATAAACCGAACGATGGTAGGTAAATACCAGCACACAATTCAAACAAAAAGAATCCAATCAAAATAAATGATAACGACTAAAAAATTCAACTAAATCAATATAAATCAATGGCAGATCTAGGAGCTCGACAAAGACAGAACGATCATAATTACAAAGCATGTTTTGTAGTTCATTAAAGATCGTATCGGCTGAGAAAAAGATCTCCGAAGTGCAAAGCAAGTGCCTCCTCTAAATCTGTCATTGATTTAAATCTAGAAAATATTAGACTAACATTAGGAATTATAATTGGTACCACCAATCCAATTGCAGCCAGAAGAAAAACTGCTCTGAAAAATGAGTTTCACAGGAAAATATAATCTTACAAAAAGAAAAAGAGTTACATCATATATGATTGAACTTGAATGTGTTTAGCCATTGGACCGAACATAAATGAACCAATCATATCAAATGACTAATTTAGACGCGCATTGTTTTCTTGTATAATAAAGTATGAATCCCTTACTCTATAAACAGCAAAAATAAAACCTAATGGTAATGATGTTTGACCAGTGACACTTCTAGCTCTTTGAAGTATCGGTGTCCATTCAATAATAAACATATGCAATGATGCATCGAATAAAGCTGAACTCAATCCAAGTAGAACAATACGAACATCTGATAAAATTAATAAATTTTAATTTAATTAAAAAAGAAACATTGAATAAACTAGCCAGTTCGAAGTACTTGAATGGCTGCAATAAATGAAGTTGTAACTTTTTTTTCTTTATCTCCATAATTTTCTGACCAATATCGCCATATGAAAATTATCATTAAGCAGAAAAATAAAATAGCCGTATCAAATGGAACACTGAAAATAAAATGGGAAAAATGTGTTTTGATCATCAAAAAATTAGTGTTTTGATCACCAAATCAATCAAGAGTTGAGCCAATTAAAATGACAAAATGTTCCCAGAAATGAAACTCGACTTTACTAATGTTATATGATTAAGATGAACTTATTAATTGGGAGTAATGATGAATTTCAATATAAGTGTTGCATGTGACAAAAAAAGACTTAAAGTGAGGGTGAGCAGGAAGATGGGAGATGAGAATGTGAGTGAGGGTAGATGAGTATAGGTATGTTGGTGTGGGTGAGTTCTGAGCACGAAGATTGATGCGATGTGGATGATATTTGGAACCAGCGAAAGATGCGTTTGGTTTTTATATTTCTTGCCGTTAATGCAGTGGATGCATGATGATGCTGTAGTCGTTGATGGTGTAGCATTTATTTGATTGTATTCTTTTTTTCATTTGTCTTTTTGATGTTGCCGCCTATAATTAATTTGGTGATCAAATCACTAATTTTTTGGTGATCATATCGCAGTAAAAAACAGTTGATGAGCAAAACACTAACTTTTTGGTGATCATTTCGCAGTTAAAAACTTTGGTGATCAAAAAAAAGCTGACCCAAATAAAATTGTATCGATTTAAATATAATCTACTTTCGGTAAGAGACGAATAGTTCAATTTTATTCAAATTGCAATTTAAAAGTTTCACTCAATAAAAGAATATCCTGAACTGATAGAATGTGATTAAGTACTTACATATGGCTACTTAATTGTACTAATAATTGAGCGAAAACACCAGTTCCTATTGAAACAAGTGCCGAACAAGCATCTATAATAAAAAAAAAACAATCAAAATTAGAATGTAGTTATTAGAACATTATTGACAAGCGTTGCGTAATATTTGATTTAATGACTGAATATCCAGTAAACGCTATTATATAGAAAAATGGTGTATATAAATATGACATTTCTTTCTTAGGTTACGTACTCCTCGATGTTCTTGGATAAGCCAAGCTTCAAATCCTGTATGATAAAAAGCATTAGCTATACCCCAAAATATATTTCCAATGACCAAAATCCAGATTGTAGAGAAATTCTTAATCAAATAATTATTCAATAATAGTACCAGTATCTATCGATACTTACAAGTAGGAAACACTGTAGAATATAAAAAGAAGCACTAAGAAAACATGCCCATCGACGTCCACTAAATAATTGTTGATATTTAGTTCTAATGTTTTTTTCTTTCAAAACATACAAGTAAAAATGACTCACTATCGATCCGCTAATGAAGCAGCAAAAGTACCAATAAATAATGATGATCCATATGAAATCACATAGAGTAATTCAATAGGTGAACGACTTATTTGATAACTATCATAGAGAGCATACCGATAAGAACCTTGTAAACTATCCCCAACTATGTTGATAATAAAAAATTTTTACTTTTAAGAAATTAATAAAAGTAATTGAGTAATGTATATAGTTACCTCCGACAAGAAGGTATCCAATTATAAATATCCATTGTAATTGTTTTAAAATTGAAGAAGATAATGACAGGTTGTCATTGGTATGATTGTCATTATGTTCTGTCATTACTGTCTGTCTAATACATTCATACTAGTCATATAAATACTCATAATATGTGTCATGCTCGAATGACGTTCTTTAACTACCTTTATATTTCGTATTTTATTAACTAAAGAAAATGTAAATATTTTGACTTGCATAAGAAAAAGACTAGTAAAGTATTCAACAAATATGTGATTACCAATAGAGGAAGAAATCATTTTTATATGAAAAGAGTGAACGTTTTGCTATGGTGAAAGTAAGAATTTGAAATTAAAATATTGATTCTAAACCGAATGATTATTCATGGATACAAGAGACAAGTAAAGAATGCACACAATTTCTTTATTTGATAATACTTGAGCAAAAAAATCAATGATTAGTTTCAGAAGATGATTCACTTAACAGAAGAAACAGCGCATACCAATTGAATTTTCATTGTTGTCTTTCCTTCTTTTGTTTCATGGTTTCGATTAAAAAGGAAACAGACTAATATTGAATGACAATACAATGCGCAAACTAATTAATTATTTGTCATATCAATCTTCTGACTAATGCGATGAAAGACATAATATTTGAAGGACCTACGATAGAAGAATATGTTGTATTTTTGTTATGATAAATAATCAAAACTTTTATTTTATTTCAATATTCTTGTATCAGAGACCGAAACGTTTAATAAAACTTTTATTTAAATCCAAGTCAAGACACACTGATACAGAGAAAGATATTCTTATTTCCGCACTTATTATCTGCTATTTTTCTTCTAATATTCTTTTCTGAGTAAACTATTAATATTTCTGTTTCTCCATTCTCTAGTCATTTTTTCTATATGTGATCTATTATTCATACATATTCAAAGATCCATTTGTCTATTTAAAGCAGAAAGTACATAAGAGAGTAGGTTTCATATAATAAAATGATTGATAAAAGTTCGATATTAATGAATCCGAGAATAATAACGTAGTTGAAGTTGGAAAGATCGATATTTCATGCGTCTAAAGTATACATCACAATTAGACGAGCGAAAATTGATTGCTACGAATATTAGTTGCAAAGCTTTGTTATAAAAGGAGTGACTTGTGTGAATAGAAAAACTTTATTTGAAAGGAACAAGTGTAATACATGCAAAAGAAATACTAAATAGAAATCATTCAGCAATCTCGAGATTATTACAAATATGCATTGTTTTTCGGATATATGTATAACGTTAAAAATTAATATATATTTTTATTATTTTACATATCATACCCAAATATTGTTATGAGATTGTAAATAAACAGCTATCGAGAAAGGGTTAAAGATATTAAAGAATATTTATATGATGGTATAGGTGGGCATCATTTGAATACAAATTCGTGACTAGCACGGCTGTTGACAACGAAATGACACACTCGATTGTAACTTCTAAAAGGATATTCTTTTCTTTTGCATTTATGTAACTTATTTTTAGTCAATTATCGGTCTCACATAATGTCATTAAGTCAATGACACGTTCACACCTGAAAGTTCGAGCCAGATTACTTAGTTATTTTTCAAAGCAAACAATATTCTTTCGGTCTCTTTTGCTGGCTATATCATGTTCAATTAAGACTCAATGGCTATTGGAATAGGATAACGAGAGCTGTAGTTTAACAAAAGATTGAGAAATAAAAATTTAAATTCAATCAGAAGATTCATTTTCGTCAAAAAGTGTATTGAAAAGATCCTTGTATTATTTGTAGGTCTGGATTAAGTCAGAAAATTTTTGATAAGGAAAATGAATCTCCTAAACCAATTGAAGACACTTTACTTTGGTCTAAAAAGTGAAGGCATCTGGGCCATATACTCTTCTAATACGAACGCATTTCCTGATTCAATTTAACGCAACTCCAGAAATATTATAGTTGCCCTTTCGAAAATCTTTTTATGTTAAAATCAGTTTCTGCGATGTGTCTCAAAGTACCGAATTAAATGTCGATGACATTTTTCTCCTAGTCATTTTATTTGAATTCTTCGCAAATAATGACTAACCATTTTATACAAGAAAGGACTTGAGCTGTTGATTTTCCACAAAAAAAAATGTGACCATAAGAAAAATCATTTTTCGATAAAATGCCACCTCAAGAATTAAGAGAGATGCATTTCAGTGAAATAAAGATTAACTATTCATGCTAATCGACGAAGTCATATAAAAGTTGTACCTATAGTTGTATTTTCACGCTATCTATCTACAAATTTGAGCTGCAAGCTTATAATTATACGAAACGGTTTAATTTCATTTTTTACTAATTAATCTGTATTTCATGAATCTTCGAGTGTTTAATTGATATGTCAATGAAGGATTTATATTTAAATAATAATGTCATATTATTATTTGTATTTTATAATTAGATAAAAAATATCCATGGCTTCAAGAGGAAAAGCATTCAACTTGAGCATCAAAACTATATATCTCAGGAGTAGAGTTTTTATTGTCTGTAATACAAAAGTTTGAAATGAGACGCTGTACCTCAAAATCGGATACATGTGAGGGTTTTGCTACAATCATCGAATATGTTCCTGTTTTGCACCGTTCAATTTTTACTTCTTGAGCTTTGATTTCACTATTCTTGATCTTGTGACTTTTTTTCGAATTTGTCTTGCACAGCGTCAAGAGACACTTGCTCGTGGTCCTAATGTGACAATGTCAATCAATATTTCAGCATCATAGCTTTCGTTATGCAGAAAAAGTTTTCAAATTAATGCTAGGATCGAAGCACTTTTTTATCAATGACTTTCTACACCTTCATTATTCTACTTTTATCGATTTAGCAGAATTTAATAGGAAACTATAGAAACAGAACATATAATTAATAAGGGGAGGCTTTATTGCGGAAACTTCATATAATTAATTTAAAAGCGTGACAGAAGAATACATTTAGTTTGTGTCAATAAGATCAACAGATCTTGAAATGCATCGATAATAGACGGACCCATTTGATGGTATTTTCTTAGGATCTTCGTACACATAGGTCGTGTCATCGGCAACAAATTCATGTTTGACGTCGAACCGAGATTGAAAAAAAGCATTAGCATCTCCTTTCGTTTGAACGTCCTTGTATGACGAGTAGCGAAAAAGAACATAAGTATTTCCTACCGTCAAATTATACACTGTAACGGCACCATCCATCTCTGTTGAATCTTCATGAAACGCCGGATTGGGTTCGTTTCAGGCCGAGACTACTAGACGAACAGGAAGTGTCACCCGGTCTTCATCAATAATACCAGTTATCGCAATTCCATAATCAATCTAAAACGTTCAGAAATCAGTCAGCCCGACACAAACTTACAAAGAAATTAATTCTATCCTATCCTAATCGAAATAATTTTATTTATCTCACATCATCACTTTGATGCTCTTGATAGATGAACTGTGGTCTTCGTTTTGTCACGATAAACATTGACAAGAAATCTCTATATCTCATTATTGACACAAAGGATACTTACTTCTAGTGGTATACATCCATCTTCAGCGTTCGGCTTTCTAGAAACCATTGTTCTGGTTGATCCCATCTCATCTTCACTCAAAGTTCCTTCCAATGATGTTTTCTCATAGAGATCATAATAGATAAGTTTATCATCTGGATCATATCCATTTGGATTTTTGTATCGGATACCAATAGCCGGCACAATATGATCATAATCTTCGTAGTTCATACCCGGAATAAAGATACCGAACATGACGGGATACGTTTGCAAAATAGACCGTTTCATCCATCGACAGAAGTATCGAAATTGTGGTTTAGGAGAATTCATCCAATCCCATTCTTCATACGTAAAATGAAGGAGAGTCAAAGTGCGGATTGGGTCTCGCTGATCATCAGGTGATAGTCGTTGCAGAAGATATTCACCTTGATTAATGTTGTGAATGAGAGCTTGAGAGAGCCAAGCACCATAGTATAGACCTACATATTGGCCATAAAAATAAGACATTTCAAGGGAAAAAATGATCTCTTGCAAAGTCAGATAGAACCCAAGATACAGTTGTACAAGTTATCAATTAAAGATACGGCGAAAGGAGTCATTTTGCATGATCTGGAGACTTCTCTTCGAAGTCTGGTTTTGGAACTAAACTTCACTTACTAACAGATTCTTTCTAAAGTTATATGATTCTTCAGAATAAATAACAATAGTCATATTGTGTCGTCTGAAGTGTACTCTGAATAGATTCTGACGACTCCGTATATTCTTCAAATCCTTTTGTTTTTTGGCGATCATTAGAATTGAGAAATTAGACTTCGTTCATATCTAGATGCAGTCAAAACTATTCTCAGATAGATCGATAACTTACCGATACACTGAAGAGCTGTTTCGCCACAATACCCATTACCATTATCCCATTGCAATCGAGGTGGAATATCGAGTAGAACAGTTTGTTGATGAAGCGATTCCACTTCCTCTGTTGATGCATCCGTTGGATTCATGATTGCTTCGTGGAACTAAAAAATTTTGTACAGTTATAGAGAATGTTAATATTGAAGTTTTAATCTAGAGAATATGAATAAATTGATTGGAATTGCAACAATAGCTATATTCTGTAGAGTTCAGTTTTGTTCTATTCAAATAGGATCTATTATGTGCACAGATCTCTGATAAATTCTTGAGGTTTACAAAAAGAAGAAATATTTTGTTCTTTCCAACATTCGATGTGAAAAGAGAAACTCTATGTAGTCTTCATTTGCAACGGACAAACCAGTTATAAACCATGATAGTCATAACCGACGACTGCAAATGGAGAAATTCGGAAAAAAACAAGTGTCACTATGTTGATGTATTGTGAAATAACTTATGAATAATGTGAATTTTTCTTTTCAACCGGTCGTAATTCGTCTTATCTAAAAGGAGAACAAACGAATGCTTATGTAATGACGTATAGATGCTCTACTCATATTGAAAGAACGATTATAATGAAATTTTACAACTGGGTTTTGGACCATATTATGATGACGCATGCAGAAACAATTGAAACAAAATATATCATCATATCGGAAAATTTCACTGACAAAGTAATCCCAGATTCATGACTACGGCGACCATAAACACTTGTAAATGGTGTAATTACACTGGTGTACGGACCACAAATTACCCATTTGGTAGATACAGTATTGCGATCCTATGAGACTATATCATATATATCAAAATACACATGTCTGTTACAGTGATATTCGTCCTACATAGAGATGTTAGCCGATCATTTGATCGGCGGCGGCGGTGAGAAGCTCTCGCCGAGGAGGTCATTTTCGGCGGCGGCGGCGACGACAAAATTTTTCCTATGTTATTTCACAGAGTCTTTCGTAGATCCCTACCGTTAAGACAAACATTAAACGTTCTGTTCTCACAGAATTATACCGCTGTTTTCCTCGTAGCACGCTCATGTCTTATTATGGAAAAATTTTTCCACTAGATGTAACTTTATTTTCATTAATTCAAAAAATTCACATTGTCCCATCATAAAATAACTTCAAACCACACAACAAGAACTCATGATATAAGCCGAAATGGCAATAATGTGACTATCCATCTAAAATACAAATTAAATTCAAACATGATAGCTTATGGCTGGCACTTTATCTTTACTTTACCAAATAAAGTAAAGTATTAGAACTTTACTTTACCCGTTAAAGTAAAGTTAAATACGTTACCCAAAAAGTAAAGTGAAAAAAAATGAAGCTGTATGTTTTAAATTTTTTGGCAATTTCTCAGTTCAGAATCGTGTAGAAATAATCTTAGAACGTATCAAAGTTTATTCAATATCGTTTCGTCTTAGAATTAGTGTGAAAAAAATAAGTAAAGTCGAAAAATGTCGATTTTTTATGAATACATGAAAAATATTGTTTGGTTAACTTTATCTCACTTTATTATTCACATTCAAACTAAAGTATTTTACTTTACTCTACTTTACTTTACTTTTTCAAAGTAAAATAAAGATAATGTGCCATCCCTATGGTAGCTCGAATTAGATCATAAGTGAAACTAACATTGAAATTAGAATTTGAATCCAAATTCAAATCGATACTTTTCTGTGAGTGGAGAAAAAGAGCAAGATTTGTTTTCATTGATTATTTGAATTCAAATTGAAACTAAATATTTTTCTTTTTTCTAAACTGGCAGGAGAGTGTCGATTGGAATCCGAATTCGAATCATAATGTTAGTTACATTTATATTCGAACTCAAACTAGACAGTTAGTCGAAACTGCATACTGAATAAGTCAAGAATCGCGAAACGGAGAAAATAATAGCTATGAATCTATTGTGCATGAAGGAATAAGGCAAATGAAAACCTAATAAATATGGTAGCGTCACAAAATCACAAGGAGACATATTTTCTTATCAGCTCGGTTTTCAGACCATATGTCATCCAAGAAAAAATGCACTAATTCCTATTTTTTAAAAGTTCTTTTGGTTTCAGCAATCTCTAATTGTCACATAGATCAAACTTGAGATATTACTGATTATTATCAACAAGTGATAATTTAGAAAAAGAGGAAGCTTAAACTGTGACCTTTCACTCGATCGGCGGCGGCGGAAAAGTCCCCGCCGAGACGTTCTATTCGGCGGTGGCGGATGAAAATTTTGTCGGTGGCGGCGGCGAAAAATCGGCGGCTAACACCTCTAGGCCTACAATATGAACTTTGTTTAACGGCCTTGACAGAATACACCGACGCTTAAGATTGTATAACCATGTGAACTGTGATATCGAGTATGCAAAGAAAAAGAAGGGAACCATGAGCGAGCCCTTACCTCGTCTCATCGTTTAGATTGATATTTCTGTATTCTGAAGTTGAAATGTCTTATTGCATCGAAATTGTTTCATTTGGATTAGAAATCATTTTAAACTAGAGGTGGGGCTTGAAATTCAGGCAATCAACCGATATTAGTCTAATACTTGAACGATCGGCTATCCTTAGGCCACCATTCTACCATAGTATACCGATAGTTGTCCACTGACAACCAATCTACTGCTTATATACTATTAATTCTTGTGAGTAACGCGGTACAACGGTGGCAATGCGAATAAACATGTGACATGAAGAATCATTGTTTTGCTAATAGTGATTTTAATAGAATGTGTTTTGTAAAAGGAATATTATTAAAGTTTTTCTTTAAAGTTAGAATATTTTATCTGACCACAAAGTACAAACGGATCTTTGCATTTTTATTGAATGTTAATTGTGAACATGTCGAAGATAATAAATATAATTATTTTCAAAAGATTTAAATGATGATAGCGTTTTTGTGTATTCATTTCCTGTTTTGACTGTGCAGATGATATCGATGATGATAGGACACCATTTATAATTATGTTAAAGAATCAGATTGATAAATGAGTGCATCACTATTTCAAACTACATAAGTTAATTAAATTTGTAGGCTGTTTGCTAATCATACTTTTTTTAATTATTTGCTTTCTATGTAATTGAATTAATTAATTTACATCTGAAATAACATATTCAGAATGATACATGAATTCAACTGTATTACGTTTTTTACAGTAGTGTTGCTCTCATTTTAATAGCATTGCAAGCAACATATTTGTACTATGCAAGGCAAACACAGTTAATTGTTTATTAATAAAAAAAAAATAGTCTGCGTGTTATGATGTTGCTTTTTTTAAAAGACAGTAATTTGTCGTCGAGCACCCAAGAGATAATTTTATTTATAGTTTACATTATTTTATGCACTAGATTAGTTTTATTGTCAGTAATTGTCGAGTATTATTTTATCAAGTAACGTAATATCAGTGTGCGTGCCTGAGAGAATAAAGAAGATTCTTTTTGAATCGTTAAATTTACAGGATAAGTTTTGCGTCGATGCTTTTACTCAACAGAGATTTTAATGAAGATACATGGTGCATAATATCTAAAGCAATGTCGAGGTACAAAAAAGGTTTTATTTCTTCATGATTATGCTCTCTTGTATTTAAGCTGCATTAGCTAATAACTGTTTTCATACAATTAACGAGAGAAGTCTTTCAATTAATTCATCATTTTTGAGTCGAGATAATTTTCCACATGTAGATTCCAATCGATTATAAATATCATGATAAAAGCTTGTGCTGGTAGTTTGCTACTACCGAAACGTTGCATTTTGACGTTATTTCTAATTCAAAACCGTGATTCCCATCAGAAATACCGGAAAAACTGATTTTCAAATTTTGAGTTGAAATTTTGCGCAGAAATAGACCTTAAACAAAATTATTTATTGTAAAAGCTTCCGATATTTATGTTGTACATATGCATTGATAGCGTCGATGTTACTATCTCAGGATATAAGCAAATCAACATACCTGAAATTTTCATAACAGACTGTTCTGTTTGAGACCTACTTCTGTGCAAAATTTGAACTTAAATTTGTTCAGATCAATTTTTTTGGCATTGTTGAGGTGGTCCACGGTTTTGATTTAAGAAAACATCTTGAAAATGCAATATCTTAGCAGCAATTTAACTGACAATACGAACTCTGTATTCATAACTCATTAAGACCTTCATGATACCTATCGTTCTAACTCAAAAGCAATTAATCAGTCAGAGTACTACTCTTATTGGTGTTCTTAATATTTATTTGTTATATTTAGATTCATTAGGAGATAAAACGCTAATCCAAATGGCAAATATTTCACTTATATTTCTTTCAATACAAATTAGTTTATTTGGCATCATTATTCTTTTAGCTTTTATTTATTGAATTTCAATTATACTTTTCCGATGCTTTCGTTATCATGTCAATATCTTCACTGTTAATCTATGTTTAGCTATAACATGTTGTTCGCTTTATTGGATGATATATTATACCATCGCAGAATTTAATATTCGCTATTTGTATTCGGGAAATATTTGTATGTTTGTAATTTATGGCCAAATGATGTGTATACTCTTCAAGTACCGTTTGCATTTATTATACTTACAGTTCATCGATATTGTTCTATACTATATCATACGAAACGTTGTTTTAAAACAAAACAATGGGTAGCAATTGGTGTGATTAGTCAATAGATTGCTGTTGCTGTGTTATCATTACCAAATGTTCTTAAATAATTCGGTAAAAATTAAAATCAAAAATTTTCCTTTTAAAAGTTGAGATAATTGTTTTTTCATAATTATTTATTTTTTAACTTTGTATTTTATCAGAATGGAAACGAATTTATATATTAATAATGATTATTATAATTCCATCATTAGTTTATATGATGATAAACTGTCTTATTGTCAAGTATGTTCGTTCTTCATCTCGACGAGTTCAACCTCAGATCACAAGTGTTCAAAGTACTAGTAATAATATTATTCCTAGATTACTGAAAATTCGTCGCCGTGATGTTCACCTTTTTAGGCATATAATGCGTATGTTTTGTATTTTTGTTGGGGGTTGGGGCCCTATTTATAGTGTTCTGGTTAGTACATATTTTTTCCATATTGATTTAATTGTACCGCGGTTTTTTTCTCTTTTGGCTGAATATAAGTTTATTATGTGACATTCTCGATCTATTTGTGTACAATCATGAATTAAGACATTTTTTCAAGGACACTATTTTAACGTGTTTTAGAATACAAACAGTACGTTAATTCTATTATTTTTTGTCGAAGACTTTCATTGATTCTATCTAATAGAATAAAATTAAATAAATCGAGCTGGTCATAACTTATCCAACATGAAAAGAAAGACAGTAGATCATGATTGTAATCCATCACACACAAAGAGCATTAAAAAATCGACTATTAGGTCGTAAACGACGAAAGAACATATTCGAAACATAACACAAAATAAAAAATAGCTTATTCATTTTAGCTCGCATATAAAGTCAAAGTCAAAAGATTTTTTATTCTTTTGAATATTAACTCATTTTACTAACAATTCTCTATATTTTTTTTGCAGTAATTAAATGATAACCAATCAATGATGCAAGTGAAAGTAAAAGTTTATTTTTGATTATGCACTTTGATTTTCCCTATAAATAATTTCGTAACAGTAGTATCATGCTTATGTTCTCATATGGATGAACAGAAAAGGGCATGGCACAAGACAAAATATGTGTACTACCTTAAATAGGTAAATTTCAGTGTCAAAATTAAACTTGTTGATAGCTACAATACTACTACGTATTTACTACAAGTTGACAAAATAAAATCCTCAAAACTTCCTATATGGTGCAAATAACCTTGAACAAGTTCAGTTGTAGATGTACAATAGTAGTCATTTTTTTTAATTTGGAAGTAGTGCGTTTCTCTTGATCATTTTATAATGGTGTTTTTTTATTTGGCATATCTTATATATATATAATTGGAGCTAGAGTCGTCATATATATATATTTATTTATTGTATATACTGAACTTTAGAGAATTAATAAAAAGATGAAAGCGATAAAAAAAAAACTATCAATATTGTAAACTGAAAGTGATCTGTTTTGGTGGTCGGAACAAAATAAACTTCGCAATTTAATGAAACTGATTTCTCTGGGGTATATGAATAATTGCTAATGGCAGCACAAGACTTAAAAATATTCAATTAAAAATGGGATAAGTCAAGTATAGAAGTAGCCAGCGATTTGTGGTATTCTGCAACCAAAAAAGAACAAATTGGAGCATCATTTTCTCTCAGAATATATAAAGCAAAATCATTTTGAAACAAATGGTTTATACAAAATATTAAAAAAACTGTCTGTCATTTCGATGAAGTTTTGATAACAAGTAAAAAGATTTGCTTAAAAATCAAGAAAATTCCAGGTTATTCGACCGAACAAATACATAAACTTATATTCTCAACATTAAAATATGAGAAGATAATTGTTCAACTTGTTTCTTAAACAACAGATCTCAAAATCCTGCATTTAAGAGATATGCCAAAGTTTCATTAATGATGGGCCATTTTCATACATTATTTTAAATTTTTTTGCGAAATTTATTGATTTCAACAATGATTGTTTCCTATATATTATAAGAGAAAGAGATATCTTCATATTATCTCCTTTGATTGATGCATACTGCAGATCGTCAACTGTGTGCGTTTTCAAATATTCAATTTTTAATGAAATACTTTTAGGTTTTGCATCTTAGTTACTTTTACTATCACAAACCAATGCTACTGTTGTTCTGATGTTCATTCTTGACCAATGAGAGTTTTTAAGAAAATACATACAATGTTTGCAACAACTTTTTAGATCAAATGAAATAGATCTATGCACAAAGATTATAAGATATGAAGCAAGCATTGATTGCAATGATATAGGGTAAAAACAATAAACACACACCAAGTGATATACACTTAGCATCTAAAAATGGTAATGTTGACTCTATTGAAAAAATTTTATCTACTTTGTCATATGATAAATTGAACAAAAACGAAATTCATGGAAGTCATGTTTCACATGACATTCTTGCATTCGTGACTACAGAAATTACAACTCTTTTTCTTCATCGTCATCATCAAGCATTAAGAAATCGTGTCATATATTTTAGCGTAATGGTCAATAATTCAGATTAAAAACTAAAATAAATACATAAAAATTTATATAAAAATATGTCCCTGACGTTATAGTTAGTCTAGACTGTCTTTTGAAATTATATATACTTGAAACTCTATTTTATTAAAAAAAGCTACATAAACATCTCGTTTCCTATGAATTTTGAAACCTTATTACAATAAAATTGTTTTTATTAAGAAAAATCAAATAATAATTGCTCAATGAAATATTAAAATCTTCAAGTTTATAAATGAACATTCGAGAATAACAATAGTTTTCTTAAGACAATCATTTTCACATCAACAACAACTGTTTAGGATGTGGATATTACATAGACAAGAATGAATAGAATAGATGAAGGTGATGCTTTAATAATGTTTGATGCTTCGAGTAAAAATGAAGTTGTAATTAATATCGAAAAAACTTCAGTGTTTAATGTACCATGTATATCAAACTATGAGGAAAATGAAATATAAAAATAACCAAAAGATTTTCTCATAGTTATAAAGATTAAATATAAGAAGGACAATCAATGCTTGGTGTTCTATTAAGATGGTCTTATTCTTAAAACAAAACTATATGCATATAGTTGAAAACGAGATAAAAAATTTCAGATGATATGACATCTGGACAGTTTATCTTACATATAATAAAAATATCTAGTTGCCTATAGCTCTTGTGTCGGATAAAGTTCGTTTTCAACCAAAAGAAAAATCATCGAAATATGAATTAGCTCTTAATTTCGAATGATAAAACAATTTTAAAATATTGTGATTAGTATTCTCTCAAGATCGTCGTAAAATTAAATTATTTATTATCAATGATATAAATACGTCTCAAGTTATAATCTTCAAGAATAGTTATACTCTTGAAACAATAAGATATTAATTTATTTCTGCTCATTGAATTGCTTTTTACCAACATAAACTCATTTTAATATAGATAATATTAATCGTTTTTATTTTGTTTATTGCTTCAAACAAATATTTTGACTGCGACAAAACATTTTAGTAATATAAAAGCATTAAATCATTCTTTCTTCGTTCTCCTACTACCTCAATGAGTCAATGTCGAACTTTTTTATTTTTCTTTCTTGATACTTTTCTTCATTGACCAACGATAGAAGTCTGTTGGATTTCTTTGCTGTTCTTCTTACCTGCAAACAAAAGCTACGAGAGTGCATTTCTACCACGAGACTTCAAAAGTACGAAAAACGCATTCTCATACCTTCCATGAAGTAATAGACATGACTACTAATATGATGCTGTCACTTAATACACTACCAGTCGAACTTTTATATCGTATTTTTGATAGTCTCGATGCAGAAACAATACTTTTTTCTATACAATATGTATGCAAACGATTCCATTTGATTATTATCAATTACAATCGATACAAATTAAATTTTAAAACAATATTTAAACATAGTTTTCATCAGCTGTGTCGTACTACTGATCCGAAAAATATCATTTCATTGATTTTATCGGATGATAATCAAACACCAGGACAAATTGAACTGTTTCTTTCTCTCTATCGTATAGAAGAGTATATTCGACTTCAATCGGTAACTCTTATGGCAATTGAAGAATTCTATTTGAATATTATTTTAAAACATTTATCAAGCAATTGTTCACTTACATCTCTGGTAATCCATTGTGAATTAAATTCTGTTCTAAGTACTGAAACACTTCTATTCCTTTCGTTGACTATTGGAAAAAACAGTCTTCGTAAACTTGATTTAAATTTAGGATATACGAATATAGACAAATTCGAATGGCCATTAGATTGTTCGATTCAATATCTTCGATTGTCAAACCGTATTCGATTCGATAAGTTTTGTATGATTCTTCATTGTTTACCGTCTATTAAAACAATGATTTTACGAGACTGTCTAATAAATGATATTAAAGAGATTAATAATTTAATTTCTAATAATATATTATATCGACAATTAACATCACTAACATTCGAAGATTGTGATTTAAAAATGACAATAATCGAATCACTTTTATCTCTTACACCTTCATTGATACATCTTATAATAATAGGTAATAGTGATGATTTATTTGATGGTGCTCGATGGGAAAAATTCATTCAAACAAAATTACTGGACTTAAATAAATTTCAATTTGCTTTTCAAAGTAATATGAATATTAGTCATGATCCGACTGGTTTAGAATCCCTTCTGATGCCATTTCAAACACCATTTTGGCTTGAAACTAAGCAATGGCTTGTTACTGCTTTATGTATTCAAAGTTCGCAATTTATCAATCTCTATACAACGCAAGATTGTGTATCAAAAATTAATTTTCATGCACAAGCAAACAAAATTATACGCTCTACGGCTCCTACAATAATCGAAGATAAACTAACGATGGATAATGTACGTGAAATAAGTTTAGATTTAATGGAAATGCAAGTTGATATGATAGAAAAGGTAGATATAAAAATTAATTGTATTAAATTTTTCTTAGCTTTTTCATCTTAAAATTGTTTCTTTTTGTATATATGTTTACACTATCTTTATTAATAGAAAGAGAAATCAACGCGGTGTTTATTCAACGGACTCACCAAACTTACACTTCAACTTCATGATCATTGGCCGGATGATTCGCTTAAACTTCTCACATCATTCATCGATCTTTCAACAATTACTGAACTTGTACTAGATGTTAATTTCACACAAAATGATAGTTTCAATACAACAGCAGGTATTGTTACTTTACTCGAACAAACCTCCAATATTCGATCTCTAATAATCTTTACTCGTACTGTTTATCTACAAACAATTTTTTCAATTGTATCTTGTCGTGTGAAACATTTGCAAACTCCTGTAAATACTGTCGAAGACGTAAAAATGATTCTCAAACGATTCGATCATTTATTCAGTGTAACTTTTAAATTTCTAGAAAATTCACTAGTTTCTATTGCAGAAATTATCGAATGGCTTGTTTCAAAAGATAGAGATTTTACATATCAATCAACGCAATGTTCACTCAGTTTATGGCTTGGTACGCGTAAGGAACTATTTCTAAATTGATTTTAGAATCAATTAAACATGTAAATAATCGGCTTTTCTTATTAAAATGTTCTTAAACTATATTTATTATTTTCTTTTTTGAATGAAGAATCATTATAAAATATAACAAGAAATTATTATTAGAAAGATCTGTTTGTTTGGATATTAGATTTTAGAAAGAGAGACAAAAAAGTGCAGCAGCCGTCATTTTGTCAATCTCTCTTACAACAATTCTACAGAAGATTTCGTTTTTTGCTCATGAAATTTTATTTGATCGATTTCATTTAAAACCAAATAATGATACAATAAACATCAATCAAAAAAACTTAAAGCAGAATAATATATCAAATGATTGGATTCATGTCTTGAATGATGTTAGTTTCTAATGAAATCATCTGTATGCTTGATATTCCATACAATAGTTTAGGTTAGATATCATACTGTTATCATAACAAGTAAGAAGTCATTACATAGTCATATTGTAAATGTAGGAAGTGTTGTCAATCAACAATATGAAAAAAAAAGAAAACAAATGAAAATGCATGCTAATATATTTCACAATCAGCATAAGTTTTTTTGAAGCGAAAGAATCGAATTAACTTTGTAAGTGATCACTATTAATGTGTGTATCATTATTTTTTATCAGCACACACTTCATAGTTAAAAGATCCTCTTAAAAATTAGAAATAAGAACACTACTATGTATTTCTATCCCTATAAATGGTTTTTACGTCGAAACCCGTCGAATGATACACTATATGAATGTCTACAGAGCAAATTTCTAGAACTAGCAAGATCTAGTTGAAAAGTCAATAGCTACAAAATTTCGAATGTTCAAACATGGAACATTGGTTTTTGGAAGAAGTTGATGTGCGACGAGCTGCAATAATGTGTTTTACTTGTGAGATATGAATTTCAGCATTTTAACTGATTACTAGTTTTGAAAACTTACTATGTATGCATCAATATAGTTTGTGTAGACTGCTTATGATTATCTTTGATAACATCTGAAAATTATGTAGAGGACGCTTCATATGTATTTATTTTATTTGACAGTAGGTAAAATTTCTTTAATGAAGTTAAAACTATAACTTGACAGTAGTATTTATTTCCATAAGCTTCTATCACCAATCAAAACATCAGCCATTTCGAGCGAAACGAAGTGGAAAAATCTCATTTGTTTATCGTAGTGCTACGCATAGTTCATCCTATATTATATTTTTAGTGCTAGAATTATCGCATGACAAGTAGCTTTGTTTATATTTGTGATAAATGAAAAAAGCTGTTAGCGCAATCCCTGTGGGATTAAAATGTGAAACACGCTGTAGCTGTTGTTGCCAATCGTCTAAAAACTGTTCTTGTTTTATGCATATTGGGGCACATTTCTTCATCATGGCTTACTGTACATTATAGAGCTTCAACAAGACAATACTCCATATATGCTCCAATTATATGTTAGTTATACATTATCTCTGATATTTCCTTGAAGTCTTCTATCACAGTCTATGATGACTTCTAGAGCCTGTCTGTCACGGTCTGTGATGGATCCGTCCTCGGTCTGTGAGAGATCCAAGCCCTGCTTGTCACGATCTGTGGGAGGAGGAGAGGTAGGGGGTGCAAATTTCTACCCTTAAACACTTCAATACTCCTTTCAGGTCGTGTTTCACAAAAATTGTTATTTTTTATATGTGAAGTTTGATCGTAATTTATTAATTATACAATTCAAAAACTATTATTTGAAAGTTGAACCTGAAGCCATAGATAAAGCAAAACATACAATTATCTAATTTTGTCTGCCATCGATACAAATATTAGACAGTGCAACATTCGTTCTTTCCATCTAAATGTATCATTACAAATTTTGACAACATTTGAACGTCTTGTAGAATTTCATAGGTTGATAAAATATTGACTGCAGTCTTAATAAATAAAGCACATCTAATCGATTGGCCTTAAATGTCTCATATGTATTCAACTTCAATTAGAATTCGTGTGCACATGATTCGAAGAAATTTGTCGTATTTGTCAAGTGTCCTTCGAAAACACCTAGCTACGAAATCTGTGTATTTTATCAGACAGGTTAAGATGTGTCTCATACATGAAACGTGTCTACATGCGTTCTATAACCTAACAATATTTGAATGCGCTAGTTTTCTGCTGAGCGCTTACATGGGGTAATGGAAAAGTTTTCGAGAAGGTTGGCAATCCAAGAAGAAGAATCACATTACATAAATGTTTTTGAGGATGTTACTTCTTATATTATTGCTTTTGAAAACTGATAGAAGAGTATAAAAATGTTGTGATACATTCTTAGTAGAGTTGAAATTATAGCATCTCAATATCTGATAATGACATAGCACCATATTGGCTTAATAATTTGCCTATGTTTCGAAAGAACTGGATTCTGTTACGGTTAAGTTGATACGAAATATGTCAATTGTCTGTAAGGTGTTGTGTTAGATTATTGAAACTAACAATCATAGAATAACCTTGGACAAGTTATGAAAGGCTGGTTGTTGTCTCGAAATACTTGCTCGATAGAATATTAATAATGTTGTGATTTATAATGACCATCTCTTTAAGTATATGATAAGTCAGTTTGTATGAGACTCTCAAGTGATTGAATTAGCAGTCGAACTCAGTGGTGGATCTAGGATTTTGGAACAGGGAAGTGACCATGGTTTTAAAACATGTGTTAAAATCCATTAAAAGTCATATCGGGTTATTAATTGGTGCTTTATGCTAAGAAAGATCGGAAAATATTTCAAAAGGGTGAGACAAATTACTCCTAATGCTTCCTCTACATCCGCTACTGGTAAGACTTGCTTTCTGTACAGAGCTGTAGCTAGTAATCATTGAAGAGCATATATGGAGCATAAGGAAACACCACCTATTGAGAATACGTCATACTGCGAGATAGCCTGAAACTAGGACCATTTTTGCTTCTTTGTTTCTTTAAACAAGTTGTTAATAAAGCTTTCAGCATATCTAATAAAACTAAAACTTTTTTTTTGAAGGTTCTTTGGCAAAGAGAATGTACTGACGAGTTTATTAAACAAATAAACCAATGAAAAAGAATTTGGTGGTGTAAACAACGGTCTTTCGTGATTTATGAAGCTATGAAGATTTTTCATCACAGTGGGCGATAGAGTTCGACAAGCTCTATGCTTGGTAAAAATTCACTGCTACATAATGTTTGAAGCATTAAGCATGAACGATAGGCATCATGCGCATATTTTCATCAAAAAATGACAAAATTTGCAAGAAAGCGTGTTACTCGATCGAACTAGTATAACCCGACTTGCTGAAAAACTCTGATTATTTATTTTTTCAATAGTAAAAACACATGATCTTCATTTCATAGAAAGTTAAAGTTTTACATCATTTGACACTAAACTACAGCAGTCGATGTTCCGTGCAGCATAACTGGAAGAGTTTAGCAAAAGTCGAAAGAATCTTCACAACAACTATAAGCCGTTGCAAAACATTTCAATAAGTGTTACTACAGGAAATTATTTTACCAATATTAGAACTCAATTCAACTATTAATCGATGAACTCATCTCATTTCTCAAACGACTTAATATCTGTCATTGCGGTTGTCTTCAATATTCATGTGTCTAATGTTTTCTCAAAAATATACAGATTTGTGTGTATGCTCAATGCCTCCGTCCGGTTTATTTCGAATTTAATCACATTTTATAACACATGATTGTTGCAGTTTCAAATTATTCCGGAAATGATGATGCAGACATTCAAAATCATCCCACTTCTTTGACATTGTTGCATTAGAAATGTCAATTATCTTATTACGAAATAGTATATCTACTGAACAACACTTAGTTTGAATCTTCCTTTTGATACTATTTTTTCTTACGGAACTCAATCGAAACGAATGAGATTTGAACATTAGCCTTTCACTGTAAACTTAGCTCATCAAATGAGTATTGGACAATTTTACTTCAGATATACCAAATACTTTTTTTCCAACTATCACATACAAACAAAGAAGTTCGTGTGAAATTGAATTTAGCTAATATTTTCTTCCTATTTCCATTTACTCTTCGCTTGTTTTGAGCGTATTTCCATTCTATTTTTTCTTACTCTTTATCACGAATATAATAATCATAGTCTACATGACTTTCAAGCCTGTCAACTGTAAGTCAAGTGCGTTTCCACAATAGGCTTTGCCTGTTTTTGGAGATGAGACAACACCATGTCTAGTAATTGAACGAATATTGACTATTGATTTATATGTGAAGTTTAAAAAAAGTCAACAGTCAACAAATATTGTGTCGAGTCATTTTGCGTTAACTATGTTCAGATAAAACAATTATGAAAATAATAGTGATGACTCGGATCGAAAACGGCATAGAACATAATGCATGACAATGAATGCTGAATGGCTGATAAGAACCAAATAATTGTCAAAGTTTCTTTCAGTGATACGTGACTCAATAGATGCATGTTAAATGGTTGTGTCATAGACGATGTCATGCAATTATACAGTGAGAAGTAAAGCGGATGTATAAAAGTTTACTCAAATGAGTGATCATGAGTCTTTGAGACTATTTCACTTAGCAAGTCTACTTTTTCTCAAAATTCTATCGACCGATAGCTATTTCAAGACTTGTCTTGTATTATTTTACATGCTACTCACAGTTTTCAGGGATTACTGCATTTGTATTATTCTCTTCTATGTTTGCATACAAACCAATGAGTGTTCTCAGAAACAAAGATTCATTGAAGAACTAATCATCCATCTAAATATGTGAATATGTACGATCCATTTGATATGAGCTACTTTTCGAAGTAGTCTGCAGCGAATGAAAGCATTCTTTTTTGAGTAAAATGTACAGTGGCAACAAAGCGAAGTTAAGTAACTAGTATTTGAAAATCAACTCGAACACTTTGCATGACTGAGCAATCTTATTACCAAGACTACTTTCATTTTCGACGTATCTGATCTTGGCACATATAAAAGCCTCTAGAAGGGTGCAACATGTGTAGTAGGTGAGATGTGTGGCATAGTGAGTGTTGCTAAATGGACGTGACCAGATATAATTCGTTTCTAAAAACCATTCTAGCAACCGATCATGCGACAATATATTGCATACTAATCTTCTTGAACATTTATAAATTCCAAGATTACTTTTCATGCATATTCTTGTCTCTTTTCTGTTCATGCGTTTCTAATATAATTTTCTCATACCTTTACTTTTTTTCTTATTATTTCCGAAGCAAAAAAGTTTCTAAAAAAAAAGAACCTAAATATTTTCATGAGCGTCAATTGGTTGCCAAATCATACTTGTTTCTACTGCCGAGAGTAAAAAGAATTAAAAAATTGGCAATCGGCATCGCTGAGAAAGGAAAAATTTTACAATACATTCAACCACAACCGCTCATTACATCGATTTATATCTCAAAGACTGAGAGCGGCTCAAGGAAATATCTCCATCTCACACCCTCATACAAGAACAATGTCACTCACTCACCATGACACCGTCTCTTACCTGTACACACATATTCCGCACTGCTTTCAAGAAAGAATGAGTCGTGCATTACAGAGTCACCTTCAAATTCCAAAAGAGCACCCGCTGTTCTATATGTTAACTGCGACTTCTCGCGTCTTTGTAACTTATGTACTCAAAGCGCTCTCTAAAAGAAACAAAAATCACATATTGCGAACAAGTATCATGAGATCTAAATAATCATTTAAAATTTATAAACATCAGTTTTTCTTCATTTTTGCGTAAGAGTCATCATATGTAATATAAGAATGTTATAATCTATCTTTTTGATGATCATTCACCCTCTCATTCGTCTAAATCATTGGAAAAGTTGGAGTTTTGTCCATTCTGCTACTTGGAACCAACCAACGATGTCATCATTATGATAATGAAAGAATAGCTTGAATGATCGTCAACCGTATATGTACCAGATAGTGAGAGGGAGATAGAAGATGAAAGCAATTAGAGACTTCTAATAATGTCATCATCTCATTCTAAAATGAACAAGAAAGCATAGATAATAATCGGATTCTACATGTAGATCACCTTAATATGACAGCTTATTCGTTGTTTGATGTTGACAACTTTGTTATTTAAACATGATGACAAAAAAATCTCATAAAGAAAAAGAGTCTCTGTTGTCAACCAATTCCATATAAACTTACTATTAACGAAAAATCAATACTAGTGTTATTACATGCTTAGCAACACAACAAGTAACCAAAATTGTTATAACCAAAGATTGTTCGTCTTAGTTCTCATGCAACTGATTTTTTTCTCTCTTTTTAGAAGTAAACATTTCCTTGATTGATTCATTTTAATATTACTCTGCTGCTTCGGTTTTTTTCTCTTACTCGCATATTTTTTCTCATTTATAATAATTTGTTCATGCATCACTTGTAGTGCAATGACAATCGCAAGAGCGAACGGAAAGAAACTAATAGAATTGCAAATGTATCTTAGTTACAATCAAAATATATTTTTACCAAGTATATAATCGATCGATTCTCATTGCAACTAATAAAACAAGTAAGAAGCGACTCGATCAATAACATAAGCGTCAATAGTTATTTTATACAAACTAACAATGAGGTATGTTGAATTGTAGCTTTATCTTATATATCAATAAATTTCATGGTTTATCTATTCTAATAGCCGTCCGGTTACAGTTCAACCTAGTGATAAGCTCTTTCCTACTAGCGGACAATGGAGCAATGAGTTATTGAAATCATGCAGTCCAATATCTGATGGTGAATAGTCAGTCAATTATGCTTTTAAAATTTTACATTCATGATTGTAGGTATTGTATATTGTTTCTGTGGATCATGCTGTGCTGGTCGTTTACATCAACGTACAGGTGAACATTTCTGTTCATGTTTAGTTCCTGGTGCTACACAAGCACTTCGAACAAAGATTCGAATGGCTTATGGTATCAGGGTAAGTATCTATTGATGCTTATTTCTCTAGGAACAAATCATTTATTATCATATTATTTTATAGGGTACACTTGTTAATGACTGGCTTGCATTATGCTGTGGTCCATGTTCATTATTACAAATGAAGAAAGAACTCGATCGTCAGGGTGTACCAGATCCACATGCCTAATAGACAAATCATTAGTACTTTTT